AGGTGTAGTGAGGGGTTGTCAGACCACAGCTTACATCGCGAGGAAAGCCAGACTTGTCCCGACATTAGCCCAGGTCAAGTATAGGGTAACTCTGCGGTTGACCGGGATTGTAAATCAGCCTAGCTCCCCTCCCATGTGACATGTGGCCCCAACAAAACATGTAAGAAGGCACCAGCTGACCCTCTTCCAATATACAATAACCTACTCTCTGAACAAAGGCCGGACCTGACCTCACAATTAGCCAGGTCACTTGTAACCCTTGGAGCCCAACTCAAGGCCTCTCGTGTTACACGGCCCCGCCTGACGACTTCTCCTTACATCTCAGAAACTCCAGTCTGACCCGACGTTTGGGAAGTCAAGTGTAGGGGAACTCTCACGGTTGCTCTCCCAATATACACACGGCCCCGCCTGATGACTTTCCCAGATAGTCTCTGAAAAAGTCCAGACCTGACCCTACATTAGCGAGGGCAAATGTAAGGAGACCCTTCGCCGCCCCCCCGATCAGCTCAACCTGACGGCTGGTCTTCCAATATATAGGACGTCCTAGCCCTCCCTCACGAGAGTGTGTCTTGTAACCAAGAAGGGCCAGCTACCACGTCCCCAGTCCCGCTCGAGAGAAGCCCACCACTAAGTGTAACGAAGTCTCAGCTGGGTCCATCGACAAAGTGCTGTCAACTCCACGTGTAACAGTAAGTGCTGGCTGTGTAGACTGTAGAAGTGCAGTGATCCCGAACCTCCCCAACGATCGACTTAGTGAAGTGCCCATTTTAATTGTGAGGTTAGGTTATACGAGAATACCATAGTCTATCATAAATTGTGTACGAACCCCCCCTATTAATCCCCCCTATTGAACTAGTAAAATAAAGCTGTAACACGCATTGGTGTTTTATATACTACACTTGTACTGTGCCTGTGTTAATATACAGTGTTGACATCATACCCTCGAGACACGCTACCATTTCCTCTCGCTATAATACTCTACTACTATAAACTCCTAACTTACCTCTTCATGTGAGATTTTGTCTCATTACAGTTAGCAGGTATGGCAGGCGGTCACAGCGGGTGTGTTGGCAAGCCTAGCATGTCAAGTACCGACATATGTTCCCATAACACATCATGGCGCCACAGTATGCCAGAGAGATACAAACCTACTCTAGTATTCTTATTAGAAGTAGCTGGGCGGGACGATCACATGGCTACCGTATGGACATAAATATAAGAAAAACACGAAAAGAAAAAAATCAGTAAGTATATACGATAATAAAAATACGAAAAATGGTTAGTAATTTTTTTCATGGTAAAAGCTGACGCCATAGATTGTATATCAGAGTTCTAATTGTTTTGTTTTTTTACCCAAAGGTTAAAAGCCCTGTGCATCTTTTTTAAGTTATATGTCATCTATATCTGTTAACTCCCTCTTAACCAACCTCCTCCTCCACTAACATCCCCCTTTAACCATCCTCCCCCTCGTCCAACATCCCTCTTGCCCAACCTTCTCCTTTCCCATCCTCCCTTGACCAACCCCCCCTTTAAATAACCGCCCTTAAATAACCTCCCCCTTCACCAACCTTCCCCCAACTTTATTAACACATCCACCCATTAACCCCTCACCCATAACTCTATAACTAAACCAACTCATTATCCCCTTTCTATAAATCCCCATAAAGTTAGGAGTTACAACAGACTTATGAAACGCCAAGGAGGAAAAATTACACCACGTGATTGAGATTTAATTCATCTGGGAACTTACTGTCGCGTATGACCATTAGTATCGTTCACAAATATACCTGTAACGCTCTCTAATGTAGATCAACCATAAATTTAGCAACACTACAACTTACCTACCCTACCCTACCCTACCCTACCCTACCCTACCCTGCCCTGCCCTGCCCTGCCCTGCCCTGCCCTACCCTACCCTACCTTACCCTACCTTACCCTGCCCTGCCCTGCCCTACCCTACCCTACCCTACCCTACCCTACCCTGCCCTACCCTACCCTTCCCTATCCTAGTTACAATTAACCAATATACAAGTATTATATTAATTAAATTCTTTCTACAACTGATGTTATTAATACAGTTATAGGGCAAATTTACATCTAAGGGAGTTTAAGTCAGTTAGTGGGTGTAAAGGTATAACAGACGCCCAACCACTGATGTATACATTCGTCTGGTGGATAAGCTGAACAAACATCACACCACGTTGATGAAACAAACATTCAGGGCAACAGGAAAGTATTCTTTAGTGACGTGGGAGTGACGACGCAAGACATTACAAGAGAAAGCCTAGAGGGAGACAATAGTGCATTTGCAGATTAGATTGTCAACATCAAAGCGTTGGAGAAATAGTTTATTTATCTGAGATTTTCGCCAGACTCGAAATAACCAAACCAAACCTAACCTAACCTAACCTAACCTAACCTCACCTAACTTAATCTCATCTATTACCATTGGGCCCCATTAAGCCCATTAGGACCTGTATCCATTAGGAGCGCGCTAACTTCGCAATCTAAAGAACGACTGGTTTCAAAATAAAGCACTTGAAACGCAAAAACTTACAGATCAACACAAGATGTGCGAATTTTTCAATTCCACTAAAATATTCATATTTTATGGGCCAATCCCTCATAGTGCAGCCTCCTTCGCTCATCCGACGGTGACTCCCTAATTAAAGACTAAGAAGGCATCCGTCAGCGCTGGTAACAGCACTACCATTCGCTGGGCAACCGAAACACCGATGTGGATGTCCTGATTACCTAGCAGGTCCCTCAGCTTCCAGAGCTGACCCACCTCAGCTATCTTCCACCCCTGGATGAGGTAGTTACTGCCATCAAACAGAGGAAAAATAACAAAGCCTCAAGTCCTTATGGAATCCCAGCAAAGGTGTGTAAAGCAGGAGGACATTCTGCTTACCAGCCGTCTCTACTCTCTCCTGGAGAATATATGGGGAAAGGAGGAAATCCCCCAAACTCTTAAAGACGCCTCAATCGTAAATATTTATAAGAACAAGGGAGACTGGTCAGACTATGGCAACTACCGTGGGATCTCGCTTCTGTCCGTAGCTGGAAAGATTACAGCCCGCTTCCTCCTAAACAGACTTCTTCCGGAGGCGGAAAACTTCCTCCCAAAATATCAGTATACCTATAGACCAGGGGTTCTCAACCAGGGGGGAATTCCCCCCAGGGGGGAAATTCAGGTTTTCAGGGGGGGGAAACTGATTCGGGAGCAAGAGATATGTTCGATGAGAAATCAATCACAGAATTTTGGCCCTTGATGTGCGATTCCTACCCAAAAGTGGCAGAAAGAGCTATCCGTGCATTGCTTCCGTTTGTGTCGACATATCTTTGTGAGTCAGGCTTTTCAACTCTGTTGCAAATTAAAACGAAGCAACGTAGTAGATTAGAGGTAGAAAATGACCTGCGTTGTGCCCTTTCAAGCACTCCTCCGCGTATCCCAGAATTGGCGAAGAAAAAAACAATCACAGGTTTCTCATTGACTGTAATCTTCATCTAAATAAAATTAATTACAAATTTACAATATCCTGGTATTCTATTGAACTTTTTGTTTATTGCATTATGCTTCAGTTTGGTCTGTTAAGTAATTCATTATAAATATAAAAAACTATTTTCATTTATTCAAGTTTTATAAATCCATCAACATTTTCAATTGGCATTTAATTTGTAAAACTCCACTATAAAAATAATCCATGTAAAATTGTAAATGTATATGTACTAATATGAAAAAAATAAAGGATTTTCAGTATTATATGCATATTATTTGGAATGCACTTTTTGAGGCAGACAATCTTGGAAAGGAGGGGGGAATGACATTCTGACATATGGTGAAAGGGGTGCATGGGGCAAACAAGGTTGAGAACCACTGCTATAGACCATCATGTGGCACCACTGACATGATCTTTGCTGCCCGCCAGATACAGGAAAAGTGCAAACAACAGCGTCATGACCTGTAGCAGGTAGTAGGCAGCTACCAAACAGGGAGGTACTACCGCCTGGGAAGATATTAGAAGCATAATGTGTTGTCTAATGGTAGACCCTGCTGCCATATGGCATCACGAAAATTGTGACCAAGTCCAAGGTTGCTGATCTGACTTTCTGCCTCATTTACATACAATTGCAGGGTCTCAATTGTTTCTCTTACTTTGACAACACAACATACATAATGTGTATCGTTTCTCATTCTTGATTTATTTTTCTCGTTTTTGTATTTATTTATGGTTATTATTATTATTTTTAGAATATTATTTTTAATTTTAGTACAGATATTTTGTTATTATTATTATTATTATTATTATTATTATTATAATAATAATAATAATAATAATAATAATAGTTATTATTATTATTATCATCTCCAGGATGCTCCGCCGATCCTGGGGGCATCCCTTAGGTGGCCTTCGCCCCTGGGAAGGCCCTTGGCGTCGTTGCAGGCCATGAGAGGTCCCCTGGAGGCGCCAAAACCTATTTGAAGGTCCCTGTGGGCTCTGGGAGGGCCTCTGTCGTCGCCGCCGCCCCAACGAGGGCCCCGGGAAGCACGGAACCTGGTGGGGCAAATGGTAGAGCCCCAAAGAGCGCTGCCCTTGTAGGGCCCCCGGGGGGCAGTTGTTTTTGCACTATTTAGAACATTGGGAGATATAACATTAAATACATACACCACCCAACGCATTTCCAGTATCATCGCATCATGAACAATGTAAAGAAGACTAAATATCCACCAGGAAAACATAAGTTGGGGTGTTGTGCTGACTGACTGCTCTGTTCTCCTATTGGCTGTTATTTGGTGTATTTACATTATTCCACCAATCACAGTTAAATAAGGGATTGCCGGATGTATGCAATATGTATGACACCACGCAAGGTATAGGGCTCCCGGGAGGGCGCGACTGTAAGAGGTCCCCTGGGGTTACCACCACCCCTGGGAGGGCTCGTGGGAGCACCGCCAATCCTGGGAGGGCCCTGGGGGGTGCCGCCGCCCCTGGTAGGGACTAGGGGGCGCCACAGTTCCTGGAAGAGACCCTGGGGGTACCACAGCCCCTGGCAGGGCCTCTGGGGGGTTTGCCATCTTTGGAAACCTTTGGGGGCGCTGCTTCCCCTGGGAGGACCCTGGGGAGCACCGCCGCCCCTGGGAGGGCCTTCGGGGAGCCACGTTCCCTGGAAGAAGGCCTCACTGTGCCACAGTCCCTGGCAGGGCTCCTGGAGGCTACGCCGCCCTTGGGAGGGCCCCTGGGGGTGTCATTGCCCCTGTGAGGGCTCTGGGGGGCTCCACCGACCTGGAAGTGTCCCTTTGGTGGCCACTGCCTATGGGAGGGCCCTTGGTGTCGTTGCACCCCCTGGAAGGTCTCCTGGGGTTGTCACAGTCTCTCAGAGGGCCCCTGTGGTCCCTGGAAGGGCTTCTCGGGTTGCCGCCGCCCCTGCAAAGGCTTCCGAAAGCGCCGCACCTGGTTGGGCATATGGGAGGGCCCAAAGGAGCGCTGTTCTTGTAGGGCCCCTTGTGGCAGTAGTTTATCACTCTTTAGAATAATGGGAGATATGACGTTAAATAAATACACAGTCCATCGCATTTCCAGTATCTTCGCATCAGAAACAATATAAAGGAGACTAAATATCCAACAAGAAAACATAAGTTGGGGTGTTGTGCTGACTGAGTGCTCTGTTCTCCTATTGGCTGTTATTTTGTGTATTTACATTTTAGTCCACGAATCACAGTTAAGTAAGGGATTGCCGGACGTATGCAATATGTACGACGCCACGACTAAGCAAGGTATAGGGCTCCCTGGAGGGGACGACTGTAAGAGGTCCCCTGGGGTCACCACCACCCCTGGGAGGGCTCGTGGGAGCACCATCAATCCTGAGAGGACCAGGGGGTGCCGCCGTCCCTGGTAGGGACTAGGGGGCGCCACAGTTCCTGGAAAAGACCCTGGGGTACCACAGCCCCTGGCAGGGCCCCTGGGGGGTTTGCCATCTTTGGAAAAACCTTGGGGGGGGGCGCTGCTTCCCCTGGGGGGGCCCTGGGGGGCACCGCCGCCCCTGGGAGGGCCTTCGGGGCACCACGTTCCCTGGAAGAAGGCCTCACGGTGCCACAGTCCCTGGCAGGGCTCCTGGAGGCTCCGCCGCCCTTGGGAGGGCCCCTGGCGGTGCCATTGCCCAGGTGAGGGCTCTGGGGGGCTCCACCGACCTGGAAGTGTCCCTTCGGTGGCCACTGCCTCTGGGAGGGCCCTTGGTGTCGTTGCACCCCCTGGGAGGTCCCCTGGGGTTGTCACAGTCTCTCGGAGGGCCCCTGTGGTCCCTAGGAGGGCCTCTGGGGGTGCCACCGCCCCTGCAAAGGCTTCCGAAAGCGCCGCACCTGGTTGGGCATATGGGAGGGCCCAAAGGAGCGCTGTTCTTGTAGGGCCCCTTGTGGCAGTAGTTTATCACTCTTTAGAATAATGGGAGATATGACGTTAAATAAATACACAGTCCATCGCATTTCCAGTATCTTCGCATCAGAAACACTATAAAGGAGACTAAATATCCAACAAGAAAACATAAGTTGGGGTGTTGTGCTGACAGAGTGCTCTGTTCTCCTATTGGTTGTTATTCGGTGTATTTACATTTTAGTCCACCAATCACAGTTAAGTAAAGTATTGCTGGACGTATGTATGCAATATGTACAACACCACGACCAAGCAGGCTATAGTGCTCCCGTAAGGGGGCGCCTCTAAGAGGCCCCCCTGAGGTCACCGCCACCCCTGAGAGGACCCGTGGGAGCACCGCCAACCCTGGGAGGGCTCTGGGAGGTACCGCCGCCCCTGATAGGGCCTTGAGGGCGCGACAGCTCCTGGTAAATTCCTTGGGGGTGCTACAGCCCATGGCAGGGCCCCTGGGGGATTTGCCACCTTTGGGAGAACCCCTGGGGGCGTACTGCCACCTGGGACGAACCTAGGGGGCGCTGTCGTCCCTGGGAGGGCCTTGGGGGCGCCACAGTCCCTGGAAGAGGTACTCAGGGTGCCACAACCTGTGGCAGGGCTCCTGGGGCCTCCGCCGCCCTTGGGAGGGCCCCTGAGGGGTGCCACTGCCTCTGGCAAGTCTCTGGGGGGTTCCGCGACCCTGGCTAGTCACTGTTCATAAATGTCCGTTTTGAGGTCTCTCAGTCTCAGGGATGATGTTCCCAAACATTTCCATTTAATGAATATTTCAGTGTGTTTGTAATCATCAGCCAGTGGCTTGTTTACATATGCCTTGCTTCTACCCAGCACGTCACATACATTAATACATAGCTTTATGGAATTCTTGTTATACTGTACTGAAGTATCTGGTATGCCATAAAGGACAACTGCCTGCCCCAATCCTACCCCCATCTCTAGTAAATTGTTGTTGGTGTTACTGACCTTGTTAAGTTGTTCACCTGCAGTAATAACACAGTAAATTGTTGTTGGTGTTACTGACCTTGTTAAGTTGTTCACCTGCAGGAATAACACAGTAAATTGTTGTTGGTGTTACTGACCTTGTTAAGTTGTTCACCTGCAGTAATAACACAGTAAATTGTTGTTGGTGTTACTGACCTTGTTAAGTTGTTCACCTGCAGTAATAACACAGTAAATTGTTGTTGGTGTTACTGACCTTGTTAAGTTGTTCACCTGCAGTAATAACACAGTAAATTGTTGTTGTTACTGACCTTGTTAAGTTGTTCTGCAGGACTAACACAGTAAATTGTTGTTGGTGTTACTGACCTTGTTAAGTTGTTCACCTGCAGTAATAACACAATAAATTGTTGTTGTACCTTGTTAAGTTGTTCACCTGCAGTAATAACACAGTAAATTGTTGTTGGTGTTACTGACCTTGTTAAGTTGTTCACCTGCAGTAATAACACAGTAAATTGTTGTTGGTGTTACTGACCTTGTTAAGTTGTTCACCTGCAGTAATAACACAGTAAATTGTTGTTGGTGTTACTGACCTTGTTAAGTTGTTCACCTGCAGTAATAACACAGTAAATTGTTGTTGGTGTTACTGACCTTGTTAAGTTGTTCACCTGCAGGACTAACACAGTAAATTGTTGTTGGTGTTACTGACCTTGTTAAGTTGTTCACCTGCAGTAATAACACAGTAAATTGTTGTTGGTGTTACTGACCTTGTTAAGTTGTTCACCTGCAGTAATAACACAGTAAATTGTTGTTGGTGTTACTGACCTTGGTGTTACCTGCAGGAATAACACAGTAAATTGTTGTTGGTGTTACTGACCTTGTTAGTTGTTCACCTGCAGTAATAACATTATAACAACAATCTTGCAGTACAAATTTTCCTTCACTTCTGATAATTATAATCATCTCCAATTGTCACTATTTATTGGTGTTAATGTATAATTGTGGAGAAGTTTTCCAGATGGTAATTATTAATGAGTCATGAGGGTGGAGAGGAACAGCACCAGTAGGAATGGTGGTGTTATAAAACTTATATAACTCTTGTAACTAAAACCAAATAAAACATAATGAATGTAAAGTAGTAGGTAGTAGGCAGCTACCAAACAGGGAGGTCCTACCGCCTGGGAAGATATTGGAAGCATAATGTGTTGTCTAATGATAGACCCTGCTGCCATATGTGACCAAGTCCCAGGTTGCTGATCTAACTTTCTGTCTCATTTACACACAATTGCTGGGTCTCAATTGTTTCTCTTATTTGGACAACACAACATACGTAATGTGTATCGTTTCTCTCTTGATTTATTTTTTCGTTTTTGTATTTATTTATGGTTATTATTATTATTATTATTTTATTTGTATTTGTAGTAATTTGCTATTATTTTATTAATTGTTGTAATAATAATAATAATAGTAGATATTATTATTATTTTTATTATTATTATTATTATTATTATTATTATTATTATTATTATAATTATTATTATTATTATTATTATCATTATTATAATATTTTCGCCCCCCAGGCCCTGATGTGGGTCAGTGACCTGTGCCCGGGTGGGACTAGTCCCGGAAAAAAAAAGAAAAAAAAAGAAGTTAGTCCAAGACAGATAAAAGCCAGGTGAAGGTTACCACAAATCCATCTCCTGTTCGTTATCCCCGCCACCAACACTCGACGTCTTGGTTGTCAAATGGGATGTGTTTGTTGTCGGGGAGAATAAAAGTGTATGAAGGTGTTGAATGGAGGTTAATGGAGTAATATATAGTGAGGGAATCGTGTGGAAAATGACTGCGGCGACTGAACTGGTGACCGTAAAGACTTAACACCGCTGAGCCAAGTGACGTGGTGATTATCGCTGACATTTTGTATAGTAAGTTGTTGTTGTTCTCTCACCAGTGTGTTTCACATGGTAATGTTTACTTCCCCAAGTGAGGCCAAGCTTAAACAGTTAGTATTACTTAATGTAGGATAAACAAATTAAATACTGAAGCTCCAGTTGAGTGACGCCTTGGACGTCTTACTGTCAACCAATCGGCTGTCTTGCTACAAACAGCTCTAAGCAAAGTTGCAGTGAACAGACTATACAGTATATACTAAATAACATGAAATAAATAAATTAGTTTACAAATGATAAAATAACACATAATAAAGCCCATTATAATTCTTATCTGGCAGAACTTAAGTGTTTAATGACGTCAGTAAAGATGCTGTTTCTTATTGTATGACGATGACCAAGTTGACACAAACAATTATATCAGAGAATGATGACCCCACACTCACCACCAGGTCTTGTCAGCATCTGCCTTCCTCTGTAACAGCAGGTGAGCCACCCTGGTGTGGTCTCCTCGTGTAGCCTCGTCACATTATCCCTGCACCACCACCACCGCTCCACCGCTACACCACAAAATAAACCCTACAAATAACTGATAGGTGACGTACATGTAGGGCTCAAGAACAACAAATGTCATAAAAGGTAGAAAATAGACTATAAATATTACGTATCATTACATCACTGATGGCAAATATTTAGTAGAGACGTCAATATAAATGTTATGATGTATTACTTTATGTGTACAAGGTGAATGTTGAGGTATTATTATACTACAGTACAGTACAGTACAGAGGTAGTAACAATAGCGCTAGTTAGGCCGCACCTCGATTATGCGGTTCAGTTCTGGTGCCCCTATTATAGAATGGATATAAATTCACTAGTCGGTGCAGCGAAGAATGACAAAAATGATTCCGGGATTTAGAAACCTTCCATATCAGGATAGGTTAAAGAAACTTAACTTGCATTCCCTAGAAAGACGAAGAGTGCGGGGAGATATGATAGAAGTATTTAAGTGGGTGAAAGGAATCAATAAAGGGGATATAGATAAAGTTCTTATAATATCCGAGCAGGATAGGACTCGGAGCAACGGATTCAAGTTGGATAAGTTTAGGTTTAGGAGGGAGATAGGAAGGAACTGGTTCACAAATATGGTGGTGGACGAGTGGAACAAGCTTAGCAACTTTGTAGTAAGTGCGGGAACTCTGGAAAGTTTCAAAAGAAGGCTGGATAGATTCATGGATGATAGAGAGTGGTAGTAACTCTCGACAGGAGCTGCCATGCACAGGCCAACCGGCCTATTGCAGACTCCTTATTTTCTTATGTTCTTATGTTCTTATATACTCACTGGTGTTAACATCAGCTACAGGGTCAAGTAACTTCTCCGTTATGTCAAGGTGGCCGTGTCTTGCTGCTACAGTACAGTACAGTACAGAGGTAGTAACAATAATATACTCACTGGTGTTAACATCAGCGTCAAGGAACTTCTCCGTTATGTCAAGGTGGCCGTGTCTTGCTGCTACAGTACAGTACAGTACAGAGGTAGTAACAATAATATACTCACTGGTGTTAACATCAGCGTCAAGGAACTTCTCCGTTATGTCAAGGTGGCCGTGTCTTGCTGCTACAGTACAGTACAGTACAGAGGTAGTAACAATAATATACTCACTGGTGTTAACATCAGCGTCAAGGAACTTCTCCGTTATGTCAAGGTGGCCGTGTCTTGCTGCTACAGTACAGTACAGTACAGAGGTAGTAACAATAATATACTCACTGGTGTTAACATCAGCGTCAAGTAACTTCACCGTTATGTCAAGGTGGCCATGTCTTGCTGCTACAGTACAGTACAGTACAGAGGTAGTAACAATAATATACTCACTGGTGTTAACATCAGCGTCAAGTAACTTCACCCTTATGTCAAGGTGGCCGTGTCTTGCTGCTACAGTACAGTACAGTACAGAGGTAGTAACAATAATATACTCACTGGTGTTAACATCAGCTACAGGGTCAAGTAACTTCACCCTTATGTCAAGGTGGCCGTGTCTTGCTGCTACAGTACAGTACAGTACAGAGGTAGTAACAATAATATACTCACTGGTGTTAACATCAGCTACAGGGTCAAGTAACTTCACCCATATGTCAAGGTGGCCGTGTCTTGCTGCTACAGTACAGTACAGTACAGAGGTAGTAACAATAATATACTCACTGGTGTTAACATCAGCGTCAAGTAACTCCTCCGTTACGTCAAGGTGGCCGTGTCTTGCTGCTACAGTACAGTACAGTACAGAGGTAGTAACAATAATATACTCACTGGTGTTAACATCAGCGTCAAGTAACTCCTCCGTTACGTCAAGGTGGCCGTGTCTTGTACAGTACAGTACAGTACAGAGGTAGTAACAATAAAATACTCACTGGTGTTAACATCAGCGTCAAGTAACTTCACCCTTATGTCAAGGTGGCCATGTCTTGCTGCTACAGTACAGTACAGTACAGAGGTAGTAGCAATAATATACTCACTGGTGTTAATATCAGCGTCAAGTAACTTCACCCTTATGTCAAGGTGGCCGTGTCTTGCTGCTACAGTACAGTACAGTACAGAGGTAGTAACAATAATATACTCACTGGTGTTAACATCAGCGTCAAGTAACTTCTCCGTTATGTCAAGGTGGCCATGTCTTGCTGCTACAGTACAGTACAGTACAGAGGTAGTAACAATAATATACTCACTGGTGTTAACATCAGCGTCAAGTAACTTCACCCTTATGTCAAGGTGGCCGTGTCTTGCTGCTACAGTACAGTACAGTACAGAGGTAGTAGCAATAATATACTCACTGGTGTTAACATC